ACTGACTGAAATAAACTCTTGCTTCAAAGGGAATGTCTTTACCAGTCTGAATATGTTATATGGACATTCTTTTTTGTAAGATAATAGATACTAAAATACCCCACATCCCCACTGCTGTCTACAAGTAATATTGCATTGGGTCATTCATGCAAAAAGATACCAGTACCTGCTAAAGAATTAGAAGTCCTTCATAGATACATTTTTCCAGCTCAGATGCTTTTCAGTGGGAAATGAATATATTAGTACAAAATAGATCAACAGCATGGAGCTTCTAGGAGCCAATGTAACTCCTAGATCAGCAGTTCTCAAACATTTTGGTCTCAGGATCCCTTTACATTCTTAAAAACGATTGAGGACCCCAGAGAGCTTTGGTTTATGTGGGTTATATCTATTGATATTTACGGTATTAGAAATGAAAACTGAGGAATTTAAAAATATTTATTTATTTATTTATTTGACTCACAGACCCCCTGAAAGGGTCTCAGGGACCCCAGGGTCCCCAGACCACACTTTGAGAACCACTGTCCTACATGATCCAAGTACAAGAAATCATATAGCATTCTATGCATTTTTGTTGGAAGAATAAGAAGAGGAGGAGGAAGAGGAGGAGGAGGAGGAAGAGGAGGAGGAGGAATAGAAAATTAGCTGTAAGACAATAATTAGACCATACATAGCAGAAAAGAGTAAAAGGCAGAACTAAAAGAAAATACAAATCATGTTTCTGTATCAACCCTAAAATTTACTCAATCAGATCCACATTGTTTATTTGGCTTTGGTACCCAGGCAATTTCATACGTTCACGTGGTGGTATTTGGACTAGAAAAGATTGCCAGTTTCTATTGTCCATTGGCATGTGTGAAAATGCTCAATTTGTTAAAGATCTAGAATTTTCAAAATCTGACAAGTCAAACATTAAAAGGAATGAAATTGTAAATAAAATGTATCCTTTGCATGTTTGCAAATCATGAATTTAAACAACCATTTCCCATATTTAATTGATATTGTACTAGAGAGAAGGTGGTTGCACAACAGCTTCAGAGGATCCTGGATGAAGCAAATTATCTTGACCCCTTTCAGTCAGGATTCAGGCCTGGATATGGGATGGAAGCAGCATTGGTCACGCTTTTGAATGGTCTCTGGTGGGGGCAGAATGGGGGTAGCGCATCCATCCTTGCTCTACTTGACCTCTCAGCAGCTTTCAATATCATCAGCCATGGTATCCTTCTGGATCGGCTTCGGGGGTTGGGAGTTGGAGGCACTATATTGTGCTGGTTTTCTTCCTTTCTCCAAGGCCAGTTCCAGTCGATGTTGATGGGGAGCAAGAAGTCCCACTCTGCCCCACTCTCGGCCCCTTCTAGATGTATCCAGCTGTACATCTCTGTCCCTGGTGAGCTAGGTGATGCTGTTGATGCCCTTTTTTGGTGCCTGAAGGCTGTGGGGGCCTGGATGGGGAACAACAGGCTTCAGCTGAACCCTGGCAAGACTGAGTGGCTCTGGGTTTTAGGGCCTTCTGTATCTGGGACTTTACCATCTCTGGTGCTAGATGGAGTTGCACTGCCCCAAAGAGACCAAGTGTGCAACCTGGGGGTTCTTCTGGACTCATGACTCCTGCTCAAAGAGCAGATGACCCTTGTGACCCAGAAGGGTCTTTGCACAGTTTTGTGTTGTGTGCCAGATGTGCCCATTTCTGGATCAGGAGGCTCTACTCTCAATTGCTCATCTCCCGAATGGACTACTATAATGTGCTCTACATGGAGCTGCCCTTGAAGAGTATCTGGAAGCTTCAGCTCGTGCAAAGTGCAGCAGCACAAATAGTTGTGTGTGCTCCAAGATCTGCACACATTACACCTCTGCTAAGTGAACTGCATCGATTGCCATTTTGCTTCAGTGTCCAATTCAAAGGTGTGGTTTAAAGCCCTACATGGCACGGGACCAGGATATTTGAGGGACCACCCCTCCCTGATGATATCTACCCATCCCATCAGGTCTGGCAGGAGAGGCATATTGTGGGTCCCATCGGCTAGGGAATGTTGGGCAGGACCTTGGAAGAAAGCCCTTTCTGCTGTAACCTGTGCCCTGTGGAACATCATTCCCCCTGAGGTGAGGTTGGCCCCAACCCTGTTGGCCTTTCAGAAAGCCCTTAAAACATGACTTTGTCAACTAGCTTGGGGATTCCATGGTAGAGTGGAGCCTTTTAGATGGTTATATGACAGTTAATGGAATATACTCTCTATATGTTTGCCTGCCATCTTGTTTTTTTATTTGTTCTTTTCTTGTTTTATTTTAATTTAAATTGGTTGTTTTGATGGTTTTTATATATTCTTGATTATTACTATGTATGCCGCCCAGAGTCACTGTGTGAGATGGGCGGCTATACAAATGTGAATGAATGAATGAATGAATGAATGAATGAATGAATGAATGAATGAATGAATGAATGAATGAAGCCCTATACAGTATTCCAGGACACCATATGCAAACAGTGAGCAAGCTTCATTTGTTAATGGTTGATGTATTGAATAGTACTCATTATTGTTTTTTTACATGGGAGTGCAGCATAGTTTAAAAAGTTGAATACACTGCCATTTTGTGTTAAAGATACACTTTAAAAAATATATCTACTCTTTAAGAGTGTATCTGTATGCTTCCAGTTAGTCATCCAAAAGTATCTTCAAATCTATTTGCAACATGTTGTTGTTTGGAACAGAGCCCGATTGAGTTAGTTGTCTGGGTGATATTCAAAATCACCATGACAAGTCATTGGTCACAGTATTTTAGAAAAAGTGTCCAATGGAAATAATCACATTGCTCTATTTCACTCTGTTGCTCTGGGCATTTCTCAAACAGATCTCTTCCTTCTTTCCCACCAGAATAAGTTTCCTATGATGCAATCTTCCATTCTATGAGATTTGACAACATGAAAGACAAGTTATCAATTTTCTGATATTTCATCCCTCCAAGATAGGATTTAATTTGATTAAGAACACATGTGTTGCTGACATCTGTTTTAAAATAGTGCACATGACTTGTGCATGGTGTTCTTTGATATCCATAACTATTAAATGCAATGCTAATGGGGATTCCCATGTTAATATTTTAGCTCCCATGCATAAGTCCATGAAAATAATTGTCAAGGGTTAGGCAGTTTTCCAGAGTGTATTAGTTTCTAGTATTTTGGGGTCATTTCATTTCCTGGTCCAGCTGGGTGGTTAGTCTACCAATTAATACAGTCACCCATTGGGGAGATGGGCGGCATACAAGTTTAATAATAAATAAATAAATAAATCCATCAAGATTTGCCTAAATGACACTGGTTAACAATGGTGGTGATATAATAGATCAAACTCAGTTAACCCTGAGCACATGCCATAGAAGCATCTCTCTGTGCTCTGTTTCTCCCACTTAGGGAGCTTTGAGATTGATTTGATATTACATGAGCTGCTCTGTTTTGTACTATCATTGACTGACTTTTCATAGAGCAGTTTTAAGAGTAAGAAAGTTCTTTCTTGCAGGATCAGTACAGTCCCCTTTGCAAATGGTATTGTGCCTCAGGACTTTATTTCATTGCATTAGTTAGCTTGCCTGGGTTTATACATCAAAGCCATTTTTGTGTCAGATTGGCCTTGAAAAGACCAACTTTCATTGCACAATACTCGCTTCACTGTCTGAGAAAGATTTTTTTTCCATCAATGGACTGATGGTCCTCTGGTTCAATGTAGGGCAGCTTCCTGTGTTTGTAGATGTTTGCTGACTTCAAACCCTCTAATGCTGTTTTCGTGGGTCCTACCTGAACATTTCACTTGGTTTAGAACTTCTTGTGAACTTGACTGTCACAGTGATAATGAAGCAGTAGAATGATATCTTGAAAGGAATATAGAAAAGTGGTGGATAATGATATATAAATAATCCCATCTTTGTTCATGCAATACAGTAATACATCTGAGTGGATTCTATCCATTCACCCTATGCAACAGGGGGGAAAAACTATTCTCCTTTCTTTTATAGAGAACAGGAACCCAGCATTAACTTAGCATTCATCTTCACATGCAGTACAATGTGGGTGTTCAGTTTACAATTGAGTCCCCCATTAGCAAGGGTTCCTCTACGCCAGGGTTCCTCAACCTCGGCAACTTTAAGACGGGTGGACTTCAACTCCCAGAATTCTTGCTGGCTGGGGAATTCTGGGAGGTGAAGTCCACCCATCTTAAAGTTGCCGAGGTTGAGGAACCCTGCTCTACGCTTTATGTGACTGCTTTGTGTGTATCAGGAAGAGCACTCAAACTGCTGCTTCCTCAACAGCAGTGAGTGGGGAAGCTTGATAAAATGAGCTGTTGAAGTGCCCCTGGTTTGGGAATTCAGCCTGGAGCAGATACTTTTGGTGGTTCATCCTTTTCTTTGTATTACATAGTTCAGCTTTTCCAAATGTTGTTCGGGAACTACAGGACCTAAAATTCTCAGCCACTGTTTATGGGGGTTCTGAGAGGTGTCCCACCACATCTGGGGAGTGACAGCTTGAAGAAGGCTGTCACAGGCTATTTCTCTTTAAGGTAGAGTCACATGTATCCCCCAAAAGAATCAATAATTTTTTGTTGTTGTTGTTATTTTGTTAATTAGGTAATATCTGTGTTTTTTCTATTCATTGTCCATATAATGCAAGAGATCCTGTTAAGTAATATCTAGCATTTTGGGCCACATGTTTCAAATCGTTATGCATATTTTCTGTTTTCTTTCTAGAAGGTAACAATGGAAATATCCTCTCACCCACATAGAATCTTTTGTTGATAGCTAACTGAGAAGAATTGAATCCCATGTTCTTGGTGTGATACTACATTTAAAGTGAATTCAGATTGTCTAAATTATTGCAATATAGATTATTTAACAGGTAGCAGGGACAATGTCACAGTTTTAATGTCATGGCTTTGTAGTTGCTAACTTTTTGAAGAGATGATTGTTTGGTAGCTGGTGACTATCACATTAAATATGGCTTCTAATCTCCTCAGGTTTCAGCAGGTTCTATTGTGCAATTTGAGAAGGAAAACTTCTCCTTGTCAGCCAAGAGGGAAGAAAGGCCCCTCCCTCAAGGAAATAAGCATCTGTTACAGTGGGCCCAAAAGGAATATGGGGCAGTAACATCCTTCACTGAATTTAAAATATCCAGGAATGTTTACATAAAAGTGGGTGAAGGTAAGTCTGGCTAAGTTTGTATGACTGTTAATAAGAAGTGGGGTTTTATTAATGTTTGTTTTCAATCTCATGTGAGAGAATTTCCTTGATATCCTGAAATAAGAACATTGCTCCAAAAGTTGTTTCCTTTGTACCCTTGTCGTTGCAAGAAGGGGAAAGCGGCATATTTAAAAATTAAAAAGTTACACAGAATATTAACTGGGGATATCTGGGTGAAATTTGGCTTTCCAAAGGGTTTCATTTGATACCCTCCACAAGTGGTAATTGAGAGATGAGAAGTTGAAGGAATGATTGTTGTGAAATAGGGCTTGCCAAAGCAACACTCTGAAAGGTCGAGATGGACTTCTCTCTAATCCTGGTGCTTGCCAAACTAGATGCTTGGATGACTAGGTGCTGATCAGAAAGCTTTTCTGATCGGAGTTTAAGGTTTAACATACATTTAGTAATATAAAATCTGTTACTGGTGCGCTACATGAGGCACTGATTGCATCTCAAAATATTTTGGTTCTTTGGCAGCGCAGCAAGATATCTAAAACTGGAACAATATTTTACTGTTCAATATGTTCCTTGAAAGTAAGCACGGGAAACCCAATCTGGATTGGGACACTAGCATGGAGGATGGTAGTGGATGGAGCTCTAATTTTATGTCCCCAAACCCTGATCTGGATTCAGTCCCCTGCCTCTGCCACTTATATTGCCAAAATGTTTGAACAGATCTCCTTTTGGCTATTTACATTGTAGGCATGGGATCCCAATTAGAATCAGGACATCAGAGAGCAGCACAGAGTTCTGACTGCCATCTTTTGAGGCTCCATTATATAGTGATTGAGATGGGCAACTTTTTGTCTGTGATTCTTCTAGTGTTAAGCAATCCATATCTAGCGTATTGGGAATGTGTTGTGAATGTTAGGCTTCTGTATTACTTCAAATTGCCATGCCATAATATATCATATTACAGATAATGTATTTTCATTTACGTCCTCTGGTAACTGAGCTGCACATTTCCTCTATAACTTTTCTGACTTGCCATTTTGCCTTCTACATTATTATGCCCTTATTTCACAAAGTATTAATTAGTTAACAGTCTTTCAAAATCGACTTCAATTAATTTAAGTGTTCCCATTTCAGTGCTGAAACTCTTTTCCCTGTTAACATTTGTTAGCACCTAGAGCGTAATCCCTTTGGTTTTACGTTATCCTAGAGTTAAATCTCTTTAAAATACCTTCCAGCTGTAATGGAATTTTACTGTTGATATATGACTTTTGGCAGCAATAATTTATTGAAGAAAGTTGATACACAATGAACATTTCTGATAAAATGCCTTATTCTGTTAAGCCAAAAGAACTAAAGCTTACACCAGTGTTGGGTCATGTTGGATAGGAATATCAAGGTAACACCTAATTAATAAAAAAAGCATAATGCTGGCTTCCCCATTTTTAAGACAAAGGTGTTGACATCCCTCCCAAAATAGTAAGATCCAGGACACACTTTTTCAGTTCAGACAAGAAAGTTGGCAACATCCAAAGGTAAGAGTTATTTGTTAAGTGTTTTTTCTGGAATCAGTCTTTTCTTAGTAGTTGTTACTCTAGGCATCTATATATCCCAAACTGATATCTTGCTCTTATTGTTCGTTTGCTGGCAATGTTTATGTGAATGGCATAATGAAGTAGAGGACAAGTGAAGGTTGCTGGCATTAATTTTCTCCTAAAGGAAGATTGAGATCTATTCTACAAAAGCTAAAGACCAACAAATTGAACAGTAATTTCCATCCTTTATGTAGTAGAAGAATAATTTCTGTCTTTAAGAAATTGTAAGAATTTTTAAAGAATTTCTAAAAATTTATCAGAAATTAATAAGTTGTTTACATTAGCTTATCTATTGAGGAATTGTTTTTCCATGAATTCAACATTGCTATAAAGTTGCTATACAGATCCTTACCATCTGACCTTCGCCTGGGGGCAACTGTGGGCTAAGAAACTCCTGCACTAGTGCTATAATATCTACTGGTTCATAGCAATAGTAGCAAATAAGTAAATTTAAATGAATTTAAATTTACTTATTAATAGAATACGATTAGTGACCAGCAGGTAAATAAATAAAGTGCAGACACATTCCCTGAGGACCTTGTATACATCACCTTAAGTTCCAAAATGAAAGAAAAGATCTCATAAGCATATAGGATACAATCTTGTTCTGAGCCATACCATTTATCCATTAGGAACATCTACTCAGATTCCAAACTTTTCTTCTCCATTGATAAATTAAAAATTACTGAATTCTTGACAAACCAATAATTCATCTTTATTATGTGTAACTTATATACAGTAGAATATACACTGTTTTAATAACTTTTCATTAGCCCGAGCATTATAGTAAAACAATTCCTGTAGTATTGCTTGTATGCTGCCCCGGATTCACAACTTCTGCAGAAAGAGCAAATTAAGACCATTTGCACAGCTCCATCTGGTGTACTAGTTTAGCCGTTCCTGGATCAGGAGGCTTTGTTGATAATCACCCTTTGTTGTCACTTCATGGTTGGATTATTGCAACCCATGCTACCTTGAAGACCATCCAGAATGCAGTGGCCTGAGTAGTAACAGGTTCAGCCTAATTTGCCTGTTTTATACTGCTACAATGGGAGCTGCACAGGTTGCAAGTAGGCTTCTGGGTGCAATTCAAGATTCTGGTCATTACTTTTACAGCCTTATTTGGCTTAGGACCTTGGTATCTATGAGACCACCTTCTTCTAGTGGTACCTGCCTATCCAGTGAGATATAAAACAGGAGGCTGGCTGTGGGAGTGTTGTCATCAAAGACCTGGTAGTGAGCCTTCTCTATGGCAGCCTCCCTTCTCTGGAAGAAGTTACCTCTAGATAAAGATGGCTGCAACCCTGCTAGTATTCTGGAAAACTGTCAGGACCTGGGTTATCTGGAGGACCAGCATGGTTGATTAAACAGAGAAAGTGGCACCAGCAGTTGATGAAGAGGAGATGGCTGTCCTTATGGTTTTCTATTTATTGTCTTATTTACTGCTTACTGTAAGGGAGACCTTAAGTCACTCGGGGTAATTTTTCAACTGGAGTAGCATATCAGCCTAAGAAGTATCATATAGGTGTAGATGTAGATGAAAAATGAAAATTGTGTCTCCCCATCCTCACCCCTACCCCATGCTGGACTACTGAGAAAGGCTCTTTTTAATTAGGAAATATATACAGTGGTACCTCGGGTTACGAACGCCTCTGCTATCGAACTTTTCGGGTTGCGACTAGCTCCGGCTGCAAAAATTTACCTCGGGTTACGAACTCCGCCTCGGGTTACAAACCGGATCCGCGGCCATTTTCCGCCATGACACGTGGTCCGTGGCCATTTTCCGCCCGTTCCACATGGTCTGCGGCCATTTTCCGCCCGTTCCACGTGGTCCGCGGTTGTTTTTCCGCCCGTGCCACGTGGTCCGCAGGCATTTTTCCGTCCGTGCTGCGTGGTCCGCGGCTGCTTTTCCACCCCTGCCGCGTAGTCCACGGCCGTTTTTCTGCCCCTGACGCGTGGTCTGCGGCCGTTTTTCCGCCCCTGACGCGTGGTCCGCGGACGCCGGAATGGATTAACGGTAATT